CGCCTTTAATCCCAGCACTTGGGAGGCAGAGGCAGGCGATCTCTGTGAGTTCAAGGCCAGCCTGGTCTACATAGTGAGTTCCAGGACAGCTGGGGCTACAGGGAGCCCCTGTCTCAAAAAGACCAAAAAAAAAAAAAAAAAGAAACAAAAAAGAACTAGTACAAGGAAAGTCGGGCCCACAGGTAGGAAGTCCAAAGACGCATCTTTGTCTTTTGGAGACCTTGCCACACACCAACCAGAACTCTCCCTGTCAATCAGGGGCCACTGGAACCCCATTCCACCAACAAAACAACATGATGCCCAAGACCTTTATTAGACAATTGACTGGGCAGGAAGGAATCCATTCTTCCTCCTCCTTTTAGTTGGGCTTGTTGTTTAAACAAAGCCCGTCTTTGAAACCTATCAACACTATATTTTGTAAGGAGCTTCCCGACTTGTCTCTGGGCAGAAATCTCTAACTGGGTTTCTTGTTTCAGTCTCTTATATGCTACAGACTCAAGCTGTTGACAGAAGTGTTCAAGTGGCCATGAAGTCTGGAGCCCAGGTATGATCCCCCTGCCTAACAGGATTGGGGGTGAGGGGCAAAGATCAAAGGGCAGAGTGCCCCTGCAGCTGATCCCAGCCATCCCTAGTGGATATATTAATAGAAAGAGGGACATTGCCCATGAATGAAAACACATCAGCAGACAAACTCTTCCTTTGTGAAGAGGAGGCAGGTGAAAGGCAGAGGCCACCAGATCCCTAGATGTGCTGGGGCCGGCTAAGACTCTTAGGAGTATTATGTTCCCAAACTAGCTACATCTACTAAGCTGTGTTTGGGGATTAGCAGGGCACCTCTTTGTCTGATGACCTTTGTTAAGAAGATGTTCTAGGGGGCTGGAGAGATGGCTCAGTGGTTAAAAACACTGGCTGTTCTTGCAGAAGACCTGGTTGGAATCCCAGCACCCACATGGCAGCTAACAACTGTCCGTAACTCCAGTTCCAGGGGATCTGCAGCCTCTTCTGTCCTCTGTGGGCATTGCACGACATGGGTGCACTTACCTACATGCAGGCAATACATGCATGCACATAAAATAAAAATAAATAAAATATTAAAAAAGAAAAAAGATGTTCTAGAGCTGACAGGTCTGGCATGAACTCTGCTCTGTGGCCAGTGTGAACTACAACGCCCCCCACTCCACCCCCCATACAAATGACTAGCATTTTATAATCTGAAAAACAAAAACACCAAGGCCATGACTTTTTGATCTGTTAACATTGCACTTTTGGAGACAGGTACTTCCCTTCTACCAAATAAAAATGTAAACATCATTAGTTACCATAGACACTTTCAGATACATGCCTTTAGGCACAAAGTCCTATATTATTGCATTGCCTCAAAAATTGTGAGCTTACACCCATATCCTGTTCTTCCCATCAACGGTTTGGGCTCCCCACTTCTGTGCTGTGTGTCCTGCACCCCTACCCCTCTATAGCTCTTGCATCCTTTCAAACAAATGCTTTAGACTTTTATTTCTGTTCTCATCAGCTGTCCACCTTCCTCTCCATCTGTCTCTGTCTATTTTTAGATGACTCAGGCTCACCTTCCTCCTTTAAGAAAATCTGTTTATATTCTAAGGATGCTTGAAAGGTTTAGCTTCTAATTTGATCTTTTCTGTCAGTTATTAGTGCGAACTGAAGTTCTCTGAAGAAGCCACGTCTGTGGTGAGATCTGTAAGACTGACTGACTAGAATTTCCTGATGGAGAGATGGAATGTTGTAGATCAAGAGGCAAATTTATCTTGGACTGTCTTTAATCTTACTACCAGCCTCTGTATCTGACCTAACATCTTTGTGACTATTAGGTAAAACTTTTGGGATGTATTGTTAACCTTAGAAGACCACTAACTTCTACCACCCTACAGCTAAGAATATTATAACATTTGAGTCTTTTTTTTTTTTTGAACATTTGAGTCTTATAGGTGAGATTTTCCTGTTATAACCTGCCTACCTGATGACCCACCAACCTATATGGCAAATGCATTGGTTTGTGACATTTGTTCTGTGATTATAAAGAGTCACATAACCACTTCCATAATGAACCATATCATTCAGGGTAACCTGAATCTGTTTCCAGGCTGTGGTCACTCATATTTAACTCAGAATAAACTCTCTATTTCCTTTGGAGCAAAAAGTAAGTTGTAAGTGTTGTAGTTTCATTTCCGTTGCTGTAATAAAACACCTTGGCAAAAAGCAACTTAGGGGTAGAAAAGAGATTATTTGGCTCACAGTTCCAGGTTACAGCCTATCTTTGTGGGGAAGTCAAGGCAGGATCTCAAGCAGCTAGGCACATCACATCCACAGGCAAGAGCAGAAACAAATGCACCCATGCTGCTGGTTTGCTATTGCCTTCAACCAACCTTCTTCTCTTACACTGCTCTGGACCCCAAACCAGGAAGTGGTGCCCCCCACAACGGGATAGACTTTTCCACATCAGGTAAGAATAGAGACAGCCCCCCCAAAACACCCTGACCCTCTCCACATCCTCCACCCCCACCACAGTCATGCCCCACAGCCCAACCTGATCTAGGCAGTCCTTCAACTGAGACTCTCTAATCAGCACAAAGCTGGGAGTAGTGGCGTGCACCTTTACTCCCAGCACTCAGGAGGCAGAGGCAGGTGGATCTCTGTGAGTTCAAGGCCAGTCTGGTCAACACAGTGAGTTCCAGGCCAGCTGGGGCTATAGAGAGACCCTGTCTCAAAACAAGCAAACAAACAAATAAACAAACAACCTCACCAGCACAGTGGTATTTTGCATCCATTATTAGTAATATCAATGAGATTAGCAATTCTCTGGAAATAACCCAAAAGCTTTAAGCTTAGATCAGACTGCAAAGTGGCATAGGGTGGAATTCCCACCGCCACTGGTAAAACTGGAGGGAAGAGCAGGAAGATGGGCACTTAAAAAAAAGACTTGTATGTTTGTGTATTTTGCCTGCATGTACGTATGTGCATCATGTGCATGCAGTGCTCATGGAGTCCAGAAGAGAGTGTCAAATCCTCTGGAAATGGAATTATGGATGATTGTGAGTCATCATATGGGTGCTGGGAACTGAACTTGGGTCTTGTGTAAGAACAGCAAGTGCTTTGAACCACTGTTCAATCTCTCCAGTCCCAGGCTCTTTTTAGAAATAATACAATGAAAGTCAGCTCCACAATGGAAACTAGAAAGGTTTTGCAGTTATAGCTATGAATATTGACCGAGAATAAAATTAACCTAGTCAAAAATTGAAAATTATTTGTGGTTAATCAGGATTGCAACTTGAAGGCACAGATTCAAGCAGTCTTGAAAATGTGCTCAGACTTCACAAAATGGCAGCTGTATTTATAGCTTTGCTGACAGGGCAGCTGGAAATTGTGTGTTTGTGAGGAATTACGATCAATGCTAGAAAAAGTGAAGATGTCTTGTAAGACAGCTTTGGGGTACAATCTCAGCATCTGTATAGTTTGGTGGAAGAGGTCTGTTATACTTATCAATTCCAGCTAACAATGCCTTAGGTAACTGTGGGTTGGCCTAGGTCAAAGGTTCAGTTGTGGTGCTGGAGACCTGATGAACTTTGCCACGCAGCTCCATGGTAAGTGCCCAAACCAAATCTCCTGTTTTGACTTTTCATTGATACACAAAAAATGGTTATTTCCTTTTATTGTCTATGTGTAAATAGGTACTTCAAGATGCGGACATTATTTTTATGTTTTTGTGTATGCATGTGTGTACAGGTGTGTGCATGTATGTGCTCATGTGTGTGGAGGAAAAATCACACCCCAGTGTTGTTCCTCAGATGCTATCCATCTTATTTTTTGTTTTGTTTTTAGAGAGAGGGTCTCCCTGACCTGGAACTCACTATATAGACCAGGCAGGCCTCAATTCACAACAGAGATCTACCTGCCTTGCTGGGATTAAAGACATGTGCCCCCATGCTCAACCCACCTTGTTTTTTGAGGCAAGATCACTCATTGGCCTAGAGCTCAAATAGTAGGTTAGCTGGTCAGCAAGCTCCAGAGATCTACCTGTCTCAGCCTCCCTAGTGCTGGAATTACAAGCATGGGCCAGCATGCCTGGCTTCTTAATGTGGGTTCTGGGATCAACAAACCCAGGTCCTCATGCTTGTGGGGTAAGCATTCTACCAATTGAACCATCTTCCGACACCATGATGACCTTGTAAGTAGCTCTGTCAGTCTGGCAATTACAGTTGGTGAATGGCTTAGCATCTCATGTTGTTAAGTCTTTCTCCTTGTGAAGCATCTAGTTTCTGTGCTATAAGCCACAAAGAGCCTGCAACCCTCACAGCTGTCCTTTGCTGCACGTTCAACACAATGAAAACAAACTATATGTTCAGATTCAATTTATTTTTTATTAATTTGGGTCTACAGTTCACTGGATGAGCTTTTATTTTCAACAATCATCCAAGTCGAAGTGTACAACAGGAGGCTGCCAGATGTGGAAAGCGACTCGACACCATGATTGCTTCCCAAGATAATGGTTCTTACTTTGAAGGAAAACAACACTTAAAAAAACCAAACATTCAAAGGCGCTTCTTTAGTTAAGAAACTTCCTTATGTTTTTCTACAATGTACCTAACTGTAAAACATAACCTTAGCCACAAAGATTTCCCCCAGGTTGGTCACATCATTCGTTATCGAAAGGAAAAGAACTTGAGAGAAAACAAAACGCTGACATGAATAATTCGTGCACAGGTAGTTTTGCTGCACTGCACTAAAGCTGAGTTGGTGTTTCTTTTTAAAGATTGGAAAACACACTTGCCTTTTTCAGTTTCTTACTGATGCACACACGCTCCTTATAAGGAAAGCTAACCTATGTAGGCCTGAATTTAAAAACTGAGTATCTGCTCAAGAGCTGGTTACAGCACATTGCACAGGTATGCATGACACTGTGAAAGAGTGATCAAAGACTTCAGGGTGGTCAGGCAGAGTCCTGACCACACTGCCCTTAATCCAGCAGCATCTCCATCATCTGATCCTCCAGGAGAAAGAACCCCTAAAGCCAGCGACTTAGGGGTGAAATGTGCAAAACTCAAGGGTACAAACTTCCTTGTTTATGTTTTTCTATGATGTACCTAAAATCTGAAAGCACCCTCAAGGGTTGAAAACAGAGCTGCTCCAACAGGGCTACAGGGCATAAGCATAACTGTCAGGGTCTGTCAGGCTTTCACACAGAATGTGTTCTTTTGAAAAAGCTTCCTAGCAAGGTCTCCGTCCCATTTCTTCTGCATTCTACTCTAAGTGAGCAGGGTCACTGGCTTCCCCGCCAGTAACGGAGTGATAAGAATCTTTTTCCTGAAGCAGCTTTGCCTTAGCTCTCTCACACATGACCACATCTTTAAAGTACTGGGTGGTCTGCAAGGTCTAAACAGCTGTGAGAAACTGCAGACCACCTCTGAATAGGGGCTGCTCTGACTGAGGACCCCCAACAGCATACTAGATTCCTAAGGAGCTTTTTTTGTTAAAGTTGGGAAGAATAGGTTTCCTGATTTGGCAGAAACCCCACCTTGAAAATGATTTACATATAAAGATGAGAAATATGTCTAAGCAGGTATTTTAAGAACCACATGTGGTCACTTCTCCTCCCATCTGTGAAATGGACAGTAACCACAACAGTGCTGCGGTTTATTTCCCTTGCTGAATCAGGTTGCTAGGTTGTAGGGTCAATGCCACAGCTAGGATCTAGAATGCTCCCTAAAGGCTTGTATGTTAGGGGCTCAGTACCCAGCTTGACATTACATGAGGCAGAAGGGCCCTTAAGGGGTGGGGCTTAGCAGGATGTCTTCAGGTCACCAGGAATGCGCCCCTGAAGGGGAATGGGGGCCCCTCATCTTCCTCTGGCTTTTGCCCCAGGCTATGAAGCGGGTGGTTTTGCTCTGCCGCTGTGATGTGCTACCTCACCACATGCTGAAATACCATGGCCACATGATCATGAACTGGAACTTTGGATGCCATGAGACAAATAAACCTTTTCTCTTATAAATTGATTATCTCAGGAATTTGTTATAGAAACAGAAAGGCAACACAGTCAGTAAATTTTTCTATAAAGGGATATTTGCAAATATTTAGGCCTTACGAGGTCAAATATAGTCTATTGAATATTCTTCAATTTTCTTTTTTTTCTTTTGAGACAGGACCTATATAGCTCGGGCTGGCATTAACTCTTGATTCTCTGGCCTCAGCCTCCCCATGTTGGAATTACAGGGGGTGTGCTGCTTTGCCTAATATTTTTTTCTTTTGTTCAAAAAAAATCCTTTTAAAAGTTCTAGATTTGCAATGGTCTCCTAGGACCTTGGACATGTTTGCTATCCAAAGAACATGGTATGTGGTAGTTTGAGACTTGGAACCCTGACTGGGGGATTTCTTTGGAGAGTGAGGTGGTCCTTACAGCAGGGTCCCTTGGGATGGGATAGAAGGAGAGCTCTTTTGTCTGTCTCAAACTACACAGAGCAGGACCAAACCAACACCCTTTACTTAAAAAAATACAGAGTGCCGTACCTTTTTTTCCTATGGCTACATAGGCCTTTACTCTGCATTCTTTCTCTAATAAATGATTTTTTAATAAGCAGCTATTAGTTCTGAAAATACCCATTTGCTACCAACTGCTTGACTTGAACTGTTCTGGACCTAGGAAGTAGATGTACTACTACCCCCAAACCAAAAAGAACTGGAAAAAATATCCCTATGTGAAATAATTCCCAAATTTCTAAACGAATTGAATAGTTTAAAACAAACAAACAGACAAGCATCCCCTGCCTGCCCACATCTCACATCTGCCAATCCAATTGTCCTTTTAAGGTTTTTGCTTAAAACGTCAGATTTGTTTTCAACATGTGCATTTATTTCTTGGGTTAAATTCAGACTTTTCCATGGGTGTGAACTTACAGTGGCATTACCAATGACAGTTGCTACCAAGAGTGACAATGCAAACTGCCAAGCAGAGTGTGGGGCATCACAAATAAAAACATGGTGACTGTTTGAACTAGGGGAAAGTGGAAGAAACTGGAAGTGAAAACATGCTCAATGGAAGCTGGCGCCTGGAGCAGGCACGGCTCTAATTCTCAAAATGGTGAGACCATTGCAACTATGAACTTTCCATTTAAAAACAAAACAAAACAAAAGGACAAACAAAAACCCCCAAGTGTTGGAAGGCAGCTGTAAGCTGGGATGAAGAAAATCACTGCTGTGGTCAGACTTTACAGCCACTGAGCTTTCCAAACACACTTTACAAGCATCAAGGGTGTGCTTCTGCTAGGAGGAGCCCTGCAGGGCCCTCTGGGTCCAGCCCTTGCCATACACACAGCTCTTGGCAGCACTTCACATCTTTCATGACTCTTCACTGTTAACTTTGAAAATAATTATCTTCTGGTGCCAATTTTTGCACGAATGACTGAATTTTTTGATTTTCAAGGAAAAGTTGGATAGTGACAGGACTGAGAAGTAAATAACATCTGCCCTTTTAGGTTGGAGGTTTTCAGAGAAGATGATCACAATTTGTTCCTTGATTTTATGCAAGCATTACTCCTCAGTCCCATTGATACTGATATAAAATAACTTGCCCACTTCCCCCCTGTATCAAAGTGCATCTGATGAAAATGTAGCATATCTTAATGAAAGCCAAAAATCTTACTAACTTTTGACAGATATCCTATGCAGCACAAATCAAGTGAGTTTCCCTCTTCCCTTCTCCTCCATTTAAAGCTGTACCCAAAATGGCAGTACCTACAGACAACAGGGCTTACAACAGTGGATTTAGCAGAAAGGGGAACAAAACCATCGGCACATACAGAGAAACCCTGAGCAAAAATGGCTATTCCCGTAGAGTCTTCCTGGAGCTGACACAGTGGCTCACAAGGGACCAGGCCCCTTCTGGGAGGGCAGGCCTTCCTCCATCCACAGAGAGGCACTTCGGGGCGCCCTCCTGTGGATGCGCCGCAGCCGCAGCAGGTAGAGGAGGATGGACAGCAGGACCACCAAGAAACAGCCAGAGAACAAGTAGTGGTTGTAGACAAAGGACACTCCCCGCCAGTGTGTGTGGCTGGCCCGGAATGCCTCCCGCTGGATGTCTCTGCAGGTGTGGAGACAAGAGGACAGAAACAAATGGGGTCGAGAAGGAGAGTGTAGACAGGGCCTCCTGCTATGAGTCCAGCTCTGAAGACAGCTGAGAGTTGAGAGCTGAGAGCCGGGAGCCGGGAACTGGTCTGTTCCCTCACCTCCAAAATGGGGGACCGTAGGTGCAAAGTAGGTTCCTGCCAACCTTATGCTGTTAATACTAACGTGATGACCTATGAAAGCATGTCCATAAGACCCTAGCAGCTACTGGAACTATAATTCAGGCAACAAAAATCAGAGAAATTTAGAAATGCTAATACATGGAAGTCAATGTGGAATGCATACACACATGTAGAACCATGCATGTGCAACCAGTAAGAGCTACAGCACACACCCAATTAAAAGTAAATTTAATTAAAAGGAGTCAGGAGAGCATAGTTCTTAACGTGGGATCAATTGAGCTAGGTCTGTGAATTTGAATGGGAAAACATGTATGTCTTTATTTTGCCAACTTGGGACTGAAATTTGGTAATACCTTCAGACACAAATTTATGTAGACCACAAATGTTACAGTATTAAGAGAGCATAGTATTAACTGGGACTTTGACACTAAGGAAAATGATCAATCTTTGTAGCCTATTACGGTGCAGATGTCTCACCTGTTGCTCAGCATCACAGTGAAATAACAGATATGACTGGCTCTGCTACCTGACATTACCATTTAATGTGATAATAAAGAAGATTCATTCCTATAGCACAAATTTCTTTCCTGTAACAGTATGATAAATGCATTTCAGTATGATGGTTTCCTCTGCAATCTGCATGTTTATACTATCCATTGAAAAACAGTATTTGAAGAGCCCAAAGCCCGACAATTAGGGATCCCGGAAACAAGCCTGCTGCAGGGGACTGGGAGGCAGCTGAAGACACAGGGTGGCAGCACACGAGCCTGTGTACTGGGGGGTACACTGTGGGCAGCGAGGGGAGGCAGCACTTGGCGGAGGTAAGAAGACCAAAGTCAGGTCTGGCTGACCTCAGAGCTCTGCCCACAACTCAGCAACACCCACAAAACACAGACCCCAGGAGGCACTGGACTGCACAGAAGTATCTTTTGAGATCCCCTTATCAAATTCATAGCCTACCTCAAGGGCAGAAAGCGGGTCCTGTAAAGGATCGCCCCTAGCGTCCACTGCACTTCCTTGTCGTACACCTGCAAGGCAGTCTTGAGGCTTTTGTAGGTGACAGGAAAGGAGAAGCCCCTGTGGAACACCTCAAACATCCAGGCTGATTTGAAACACTGATACCTACAAACACAGGCACAAGTCAGAGACGCCCTGCCAGAATGCACCAGGCAGAGGCCGTACCCAACTCTGAGCAGGCAGCCATACATGCGCTCTGAGCGATTCCTCTGGCTCAAGTCTTTATCCCTCACATAGAAGAGTTCGCCCATCAAAATCAATGAGCTCCTCAGTGTAATTCAATCCGTTACCACCATACACCACCACACACCTTAGGTGTTCCATTATTTACTGAACAAATACTGAGCAAGTTCTAGCCTCTTTAGACCTTATTCTCTTTATGACAAAATAGGAAGGCAGGGGGATCAATTTCAGCTCTGATATTTTAAGAACCCTAATGTTTATTAGATTTTAAAAGATTTATTTTACTTTTAATTATGCGTATGTGTGCATCTTTGTGTGTGTGCGGAGTAAATGCACATGAGTGCAGATGCTGGAAGAGGTCCCTGGATCCCCTGGAGCTAGAGTCACAGGCTGTTGTGACTCTGGCGCTGGGAATTGAACTCGGGTCTTCTGTAAGAGCAGCAAACGCTCTTAACCACCGAGCATCTCTCCAGTCTCCAGAGGCTTACTTTTTGCGAAGTCCTATGCTGGGTAAGTAATAAGATATGGTAATAAATAATAAGACTTGGTCACTGCACTTAAAAGACAAAAGAAAGGGCATTCTAAGAAAGCAATAAAGAACTACAAACCAAATCAGGACCATGTACCTTCATCAGAGGAACATGAGAAGTGTTCTGGGGATCAGGAGGGATGAAGTCTGGTGAGGGGACAGGTGGACTGAAAAGGGACAGCACCACAACATGACTGATGTTTGGAAGGGCTTGAACAAGCAAAGGTACAAATGGGAATTTCAGAAGCAAGGAACAGCAAAACTGGGCTGAAAACCCACAGGCTCTGTCTGAGCAAGTACTTGTTTCACTGCAAGAGGCCAGGGTAGATGAGGAGGACATTCTGAAAACCCACAGATATGTCTGAACAAGTACTTACTCCATTGCAAGGGGCCAGGGCAGATAAGCAGTACATTCTGAAGAGGGCAGACCAACAGAGTGGGGCTCAACTGCCTACTACTTACTTAAGCCGATGGAGGTCAGCGTGAGAGGCATAAAGTCCTCGGTCAAAGCGCTCCCGCAAAATCGACCATTTTGTTGCACAGTAATCCTAAAAGCAATTTCACCCAAAATAAATAATTGCCGAAGACTTTTTAAAACACTTTTTCCACTTACAAATGGTTTACCAAACTCATATTCCTAATAAGCATAGGGAACACAAGCATAGTGTAAGTCTGCACAGCCAACATGAGACTGGGACACTCTGTGGGTACTTGATCTGCACATGCAGTTTGTTCCATTGCCCTGAACCTCTACCAGAGGACTTCTACCTACCACAGACCTCTTCACCTGCTTACTTCTCCTTCCATCATCATTGTACCAGAATAAACTTCAGCAAAGTGAACAGGTATTTAGTCTGCTCGGACTGAGTACTTGGGCCAGAGGCAAATTAGCACTGGGGGAGGATGATGGAAGAAGGGGGAGGTACTGTGCCCTTCCTCTGAAGGAACACCTAACCTCCACATGGCTCCTCCTCTCCTCACCTCTCTATACCTATACTGATGAAGAAACTGGGGCTCAGAAGGTGTAACACAATGCAGGAGGGAATGCATTTGGCCTAGGGCAAGAGTCAGGAAGGGGATGTCAGGAATGAAACACAAGAGAGAAGATGCAGAGCCCACTGGCTGCTAGTCATGCTGAGAGGACACCCTGTTGGGTGGGAAGAGGACAGGATGACAGGCCAAGGTCACTGGAACTCAGCCCCTGCAGCTGCTGCTGATTTTAAATAGTGGTGCCAAGTGACTGCATGAGCGCTCCACACAGAACACCTCAGGACAGCATGGAGGATGAACACAGGAGACCAGATCTAAGCAGACCACCGGGACGGCTCCTGGTGACACAGAGGCTTGACAAGGACAGTGACAGTAGGAAAGGAAGCAGGGATGAGCTTGAGAAATGGTGAGATAAAATACCATTGATTATATGCAGGGCTAAACGAGAGACAGAGAAGAGCCAAAGGGACTGGGATGTGGCTCAGCAGCAGAGCATCTATTTGCAAGGCATGTGCAGAGCCCCGAGTTCCATTCTAAGCACCATAAATAATAAACAAACAAATTAATTAATGAATGCAAAAGCCATTTCTGGAGAAGGGGACTGGATGGCTGATGATGCCATCACACAAAATGGCATAACAGGGACAGAAAATGGGAAAACAGTGGATTTGTTTGGACTTATGAAACCCAGCAGGCAGTTGGACAAGGGTGAAGATCAGAGATGTTTTTGGATGGCAGCAGTCAACTATGGCACTTATGGGACTGTCTATGAACTTGAAGGGCAATGGGGTCATGGCTTGAAGGCCAGGGGCCATGAAGGCCCAAGGGGTCTGAGGGGGAGCCTCTGAAAGACTGTGAGGAGTCCCTGGGAAAGACAGGAGAACAAGGTTATGGGAGTGCCCTGGCTGCTATGGGAGGGGAAGGCTGTTGAAGGGACTGTGAACTGTGGCAAAGACAAAAAATAGTCCAAGACTCTGATCTGGAAGTTGCTAGGGACCAGTGTAGTTGTGGAGTAGTGGGTAGGTTAGCTTAGATTGTCTTCTTCTGTGATCATTTCCCTTCCCATGACAAAAGGGAAGAGGACGCCCTCTGACAGCAATGGCGGGCAGGACCTATTGTCCACATGGTCTCTCCACAGCAAGGGTTCTCCTGGCGAGTTACCTTGGCAGCTTTAGTGAACGCAGCAGCATTGTAGTCTCCCCCCATTCGCAAGACATCCTCGGTGCAATAGTAGAATTCGGAGAAGCCATAAAATTCACTGTTCTGGAAGTGAATGGGGGGCTGGTAGACTCCATTGAGGGAAGTCTGTGTCTCATTGGTTTTGTTCATGAAAGGCTGGAGGGTCTCTCGACATAGGTTGAAATCTCCCGTCCCCCGCAGGTACAGGGTCTTCCCATTTTGCTGGATCTCATCTTTAATGTCCAAGGGCAAGCATGGGTCCAGGTATGGAGCATCAGGAGTCAGACCAGTCTGTTTACCCAGGAGCCTGTTGCACAAAGAACCAGTTTATCATGAGACCGATGTTACACTATGCTTTGAACAAATGGCTGCAAGCCAGTGTTCTCCTAACATGGGTCCCACAGGGATGTATGTGGGAACAACAAAGTTCCCCCAAAAGTTAGGAAAATCACCACCCATCCCTCTTGCACAGATCCACCTTCACATACAGCAGACACACTGAGTCCCAAGTAAACAAGCTGCTGAATGACCTGGCTTTTTTCATTTATTTACTTATTTATTTATTCATTCATTCATTCTTTACTTACTTATTTACTGTGTGTGGATATGCATGTGCTCTAGTAACACAGCATGCAAGTGGAGGTCTGTTGTGTGGCAATTTCCTGAGATAAAGCCTTCTTCTGTGTTGGAGGAAAGCTCTTTAAGACACAGGATGCTCTAAAGGGAGGTGAGCATCCATCCTGCAGGGAAGTTCATTTAGCCCAGGAAGTAAATACCCCAAGGGTTTCAAGAAATCCCCGACACTGACCAGATTCATTTGGCCCTCCCTCCTCTAGCACATATAAGCATAAGGACAGCTGAGAGAAACAGGGGAGACAAGCAGCTGCCAAGAAGCCACTCCAGCCACCTGGAGGAGAGGCTCAGACCAGAGGAGTGGACAGGAAGAGGTTCGGTCCAGCTGAGCCGACAGGAAGAGGCTCAGGCCCAGGGCTGACTGGAAGACACCTTCCAAATGTCAAGCTGCCTGCAAGTTGTGAAGTGAGCTCCAGGTTTCCAGCTTTTGTGAGCCATCACCCATGCTGGGGTGGGCTTTGGTGATGCAGCTGTCTTTAGTAATTTCTGCTCCTGTACGTAACCCCTCACCCATACTCCTGTAAGGAACCCCAATAAATTGGTTCACCACATTGTATTCTGGTGGTATCCTTACATTGGTCTGTCTTCTGTTCCCTATCTGGGGTGAGATGTTTGTTCACATATCCCTAGCAATGTCACACAAAATCAGAGGACAGCCTGTGGAGGATGGTTCTCTCCTTGCAGCATGTGGTTCCTGGAGATTGAACTCAGGTCATTGGGTTTGCACAGCAAGCACCCTACGAGCCGTCTCACTAGCCCTACCTGGTGCTTTTGATTTCTGGCAACACAGTCTGACAGGATGGCTGCTGAGTGCCCAGCAACTGCGTGGTTCTCAGCCCCATTCTGCTAATGCTGCTTGACTGACCACAGCTGGTGCAGGGTGACTGGGAAAAGAAGTAACTGGTCTTGGAAAACCAGGATGGACGTTTTAGCAAACTACTGTGAAATCATGTGTGGGTAAGACTAGAAAACTGGGGAAAAGTAAATTCCAGAGGGTGAGGTATCCAACTGCTTGACAAAATGCTAAGCTGTTGTTATTTAAAGAAGGCCAATTAGCGGCTTGATGAAGATGCAGTGTGTACAGGAGAAAGGATGGGTGGAGTCTTAGAAGAGCGATCATTCAGAGTCAAAGACTGCCTAACAAACGGGAGTGATGTTGGTTTTTGGTACCATGAACTCATGTGGGCCTGGCATATGTTTAACTATTAGGAGTTAAATATTTATGAATTCACTGTTCAGCACTGACTGTTTACTAACAAGCTGATCATGGCTCTTTATAATGTACTAGAGTGTAATCAATAAAGGTTTTGCCATAAAAATATTTACTTTAAAAAAAAATCAATCACCACTACAAATGGTAGATACTCAAGGCTCAGTAAATGACATTTATAATTATTAAGGTCTAAGAGTTGTTAAATGTGGACCAGGATAGCCCTGAACTCACAGAGATCCACCTCTTTCTTCTCTCTGCCTTCCAAGTGCTGGATTAAAGGCGTGTTAAACTTATACAATTTAAACAGTTTAAACTTGGTTAAATAATTTTATATAAACTCATTTTTTAAAGTTCTACTTATAATAATGTCAAGTTTTTTGTTTTTGTTTGGTTTTGCTTTTTGTGAAAGGGTCTCACTATGTAAGCCAGTCTGGTCTCAAACTCATGATCCTTCTAGGCATGTACCATCACACCCAGCTTAAAATGGTTTTTTTTTTTTTTTTTTTTTTTTTTTTTTTGTCTTTTTCAGACAGGGTCTCCGTTTAGCCCCAGATGGCCTGGAACTCACTTT